TTTAAATGTGTTAAGCCTATTTGCTTTTACTGATAGGACTGAAATGTTTGATCTTGTTTTTGTTATATTAATTTATATTATATGTCCTAGGGTCTTGGATAATAAAAATGTCAACATTCTACATTCTGTCTTCAAAGCATTTATGTGCATGTGTGTACTTGGGATACTTCGGAAGGCCTGCGTCTCTGTTGTAGTGGTTATAGCTGGGCACGTGGCTGGTTACCTGAGACCAACCCCCTCAACCTTCATGCAGGCCCTGTCACATGACTTAAGCTCTGGCCAATGGCATCTGAGCAGAAGAAACATGAGCCACTTCTGAGTCTTTCCCTTGAAAGAAATGAATGATTGTGCCTCTGCTCATTTCCCATATTTCCACTGGTTAGGAATATATACTTCTGATATTTACAAAGATTTGTACTTTTGTCATAGTGATTACTCTTAGAACTACCTTTATATGATACCTTTGGTCCTCTCTTTAGACAGACCTATTAATTTTTCACCCAGGAAATTTATGAAATTAACATATATCTTTTTTCTCTGTCCAGTCTCTTTTCTCTCCCACCTAGTTTAGGCCATGATGTTCCCTTTATGTTTGCCTCTCGGCTATTTATTGTGCTTTAGATATATCCTTGATTTATCCAAATAATACCCTTTGACTCCTAGCTGTAAAACAAACCATGACCTTGCTCTACCACCCATATTTCTCCCTTCCCCCCAATTTTTTTGTTATTATATCATTTCTATATTGTCAGGGCATATATGCTTATCATTCTGAACTGTCACCTCATTTACACTTTTATTTTAATCCTTTTGCTAAAATTTTTCCAGTCCTGTCTTGGTTTGCTGAAGTGGGTCCTCTGGTAGTTTTCTCATTAAGGACTCAAAGGAACAATATTTCTAGAATTTTTCTATTCAAAAATATTTGGTTTTATTATTTATACATAAAAAATAATTTGCTTACTCTATTTCTAGAACTATCTTGTAGGTTTTTTCCCACTTTCTTGTGGCATTAAATGTTGCTGTGGAAAATTCTATAGCCAATGAGACCCTCTCCCTTGAAAATGACTTGATATTTTTGCCCAGGCTGTCCATTCAATTATTTCTTAATCTTTAAAGCTCACTAAGCTTGCTGGAATATATTTCAGGGTTGACTGTTTGAAGTCAATTTCTCTGCTACAGGGTGAAAATATATGTCCATATGATATGTATATTCTATTTTCTGTTGTAATTTCAAAAAGTTTTTTTCTTGAATTTATGTTCAAGTATTTCTTCTATTATTTTGATTTTCTTCTTCAAGAACTCAAATAATTTTACTGTCTTTCATTGACAGGGAAATCAGCCACCTGTTTCTCTTAATGGAAAAACCTAAAGTCTTCTGCTCACATCCCATTGGTCAACACTTAGTCACACGGCCAGAGCTAGCATCAGGAGAGGCTGAGAATTATAATCTCTAAACAAGCAGCCATGGGTCCAGCTGTAACTCTATTCCAATGGAAGAAAGGGAGAATGATTGTGGGCAACAAATAGCAATCTACCTGTTTGCCCTCCCCTTTTTCATCCAAAGTCACTGATTTCCTCAAATAAAGAGGAAAATTGATACTCTCCATTGGTTCAAACCTGACTCCATTGTCACCTGAGACCCTTTGGCAATAAAAGAGCTGGAACCTGGATGCAGCACAGAGCTTTATGGCAGAGACAAGCCAGCCCAGAGTAGGAGAGGAGGAAGAATGCATTAGAAAAGTTTATTGTAATTAACGAACACAGCTCTCAACAGAATAAGGAGAGACGGACAAGAAAGAACTTGAAGCAATTAAGCAGAAGCCAAACTCTGGCTATAACCTCAGATCTAAGCCTGATAAACACTCAGTTATTTAAACCAAACTCAGAGTGCACAGCACACTGACTTGGTGCAGCAGAAGATGAAAAAGATAAGTGACACTCCATTCTTGGCATCCAGTTCTGTAATTTTTATTTCTATCCCATTCCTCATTTTTTCCCTCTTCTTTGTCTCTCTTCTTTTTTCCTTCCCTCTCTCATTCTACTTATGTTTCTCTTGTATTCTTTATTTCTTTGTTCATCCTTTAACATCATATTATAGAAAATGCTGCTGTTGCATTTATATGGCACTGTCAATATGGCAAGCTTTTTCTTCTGGAGTTAAAACATATTTGGATATATTTTGTTTCCTTTCCTTCTTCTGATTATTTCTAACACTATATATATATATATTTCACACACTATATATATACACACATATTTAAATATAAATATATACATATGTTTCTAGCATCCCTATCATTTTTCTCTATACTTATCTTTATCATCTTGGTTATTTCCCAGATTACACTTACTCAGGTCTAAGACTTCTGTCCTCTGAACTTTTGTGCCATACTTGATCTATTATAATAGTTGGAATGAACAGTCTAAGTACAAATCACATTTGTTCCTTCTCCTACTTACTTCCTCATCAAACTTTTTTTCCCTCAAATAGCTCTTTACATGCCCCAGGATGAAGTCTTAGATAAACCCCAGAGTTGTGCTAGTCCCTTTCAACAGCAGTGACATTCTCATTCAATATTAGAAAGACTGAGCTGATATAATATTAAAACTGCAAAGGGTAAGGCCAGCCTCTTCTCTCATTCACACTTCCTCTCTAACACCATTCAGTACCTGTTACTTTTAGATAGTTCAAGTTTGGGAAGGAGAGAGAGAAGGAAGTGGTAAGGAGAAAGAACTGTCCTCTCACAATAGATCCTTCATATCTCCCAGATATGGTGGATGCATGAGCCACATTTGTGGGGTCTTCAAAGACTCCCCTCTTTAGAGACAAACTCTCAACTCAAGTTCCCCTAATGCAGAAAGTTCAACTGACTGCTTACCACTTCCTTCTCAGTCTCCCAGCTTCTAGGATGCCCACACCCAACCTGAGGTCACCTCTTTCATCCAAATAATCCTCCTGGACAGAATATCTCTCAACAACTAACTGAACTCCTCCCTTTCCCAGGGAGGCTCTTGAGAAGCATGCCTCTTCATGGTCCTAATGTCAGTGGAGGTGTAGCTGGCTCCCAATGTGGTCACCCTCTCTAGACTTTTCCAGTTTGAGTCTTTAAACATCTCTGCCTCCTTCAAAATCCTGGAGACACAGATCAATTACCTGGAGACTGAAGCCTTCTCGCTTGCCTTGAGGAGCAGGGAGCACTTAAATCCTATAGCAAGTATCTGATGTCAATGGATAGTATTTGGACAGGAAACTCAAGAACAGCTGCTCTACTTCCTGTGGGGTATTTGAGTGAGAAAATTCACAAAAACCAGTTATTAGCAGGTCTTAAATCTCAAAGAACTCTGGTAAACTGAACCAGACTACTTTTATTTCTTTAATGTATTTGGCCTCAACAGGTTTGATGAAAGGTGAATCAGATAGAACCAGATAAATACAGAAGAGGAAAATGTGTTTTCCTAAGATACCTATGGCTGAACAAGCCCAAACTGTAGTCTATCCATCGAACTGAAGAAAGGAGAGAGAAAGAAAGAGAGAAAGAGAGAAAGAAAGAAAGAAAGAAAGAAAGAAAGAAAGAAAGAAAGAAAGAAAGAAAGAAAGAAAGAAAGAAAGAAAACAAGAAAACAAGAAAACAAGAAAACAAGAAAAGACAAAGAAAAGAAAAGAAAAGAAAAGAAAAGAAAAGAAAAAGAAATAGAGAGAAAGAAAGAAGAAAAAGAGAGAGAGAGAGGGAGGGAGGAAGGAAGAAAGGAAAGAAAGAAGGGAGAGGAGAGGAGAGGGAAGGGAAGGGAAGGGAAGGGAAAGGAAAAAGAAAGAAAGGGTGCACACTTCATGGCCCTACTTTGGATTTCAACATATTTGAACATGGTGTTCAGAAGATTCACCTGTACAAGCCTCACCATCTTTCCACCCAAACCCACCACCTGCTTAACCTGGGAGTATATTCTCCCAAGATAAAGTTTCTCTTTTTTTATTGAAATATAGTCCATTTACAGTGCGTCAACTTCTCATGTACACCGTAATGTTTCAGTCATACATATACTTGTATATGTACTTTTAGTAATCCTTTTCATTATAGGTTACTACAAGATATTGAATATAGTGCCCTGTGCTATACTTGTTTATCTATTTTATATATAGTAGTTAATAGTTGCAATTTCAAACTCACGATTTATCCCTTCCTATCTCTCTTTCTCCCCGGTAACCGTGTTTGTTTACTATGTCTGTGAGCCTGCTGAGATAAGGTTTCAGTCAATCCTTCTTTGATATCTCTAACCCTAAGGCTTTCTAGGACTTGAACCTCTATTTCTACTAATTCTCTTTGAGCAATATTCTCTTGGTTAGTTTTTTAAATCCCATTTTTTTTCTGTCCAAACCCATGTGAACAAGGTCTTTGGTCACTTCCATGATATTTTCAGCCCAAAAGCCTTCATTCAGGGCTAAGATAATGGCTAATGTTTCATCCGTGTAGTTCACCATCTCATCTTCCTTGACAATCCAAATCCTCACATTGTTTCCATTGATTTTGCCTCTTAACCAAAGGAAATCTGCATTACTTCACTTAATTTTTAAATTTCTAGATGCTTCAGTTTCTTCATTGGTAATGGGGGTAGTAAAAGTCCCTAAAAATAAATTAGTAGATGTAAGGGTCTTATATTCATGTCTAGCATATAATAAGCACTTAGCAACTGTTACCTCTCATTACTATTATTCTCACAGTGTTCCTTGAGATATAAGAAATAGAACTCTGTCTTAAATTCTTTTTTTATTAATGTGGATATAAATGAATTTGGATTAATATAAGGGTAAATAAAATGAAGTCTAGGATGAACCCAGATTAACCATCAATGGCTTGGCAAATTCAAGGCTATGGGTTATATATTTTTCTTTATGCAGCAGTCTCTTAAAAATATATAGTAAAATGGAATTTTTGAAAAGCACTATTACATGCAGTGCAGCTTTTCAGCAGCATCTGTTTTATATTTTTCTTTTTTTTTTTCAGTGAGAAAGAGAGGCAGACGTAGAGTCCAAACTCTGAGTAACAGAGCTCCAAAGAAAAGAGGCAAACCAAGAGGTAATAAATAAATAAATAAATAAATAAATAAATAAATAAATAAATAAATATTTAATAAAATTTCAGTAGCTGAACATCTAAATTCTCATGCTTTTTTCTATGCTTTTAGTAACAAACTTATTTCTCTAATTGCTTCATATAGCTACTAACTATTGAGAAATAAGATTTAGTCAGCTTCTAAAATATGACGGGGAAAGAAAGATTATATCACAGGCAAGTAATATGGTGATGAGTCTGCAGCCAGAACCCAGGACCTGAGGCTTATAGCAGTTCTGCCTTTGCTGAACTGATAACTTTCAAGGCTGGAAATAGTTGTAGCCATGAAACACTGTGGAACTTACAAGTGATGCAGCTGTCCTTCCTCATTTCCTACCACCCTGAGGTAGTCTTGTGGACTTGGGTCTGTCACCTTGACTCTTCTGCCTCAGTTTACTCTCTGTAAAGTGAAATAAAGTGAGATAATACATAATAATAGAGAGATTAACCAAGGCCCATCCCAGCTTCACTTCCTATGGTTCTACCAATGGACTCAGGAAGGACCATGGACAGCTCTTTCATCTGCGTGGCCAACCAGCAGCCCAAGTGTCTTTAATGGATTCCCAACATCGCTGAATTGGAAGGGGAGGAACAGCAGCTAATTATTGTGAAGTTAATCTTAAAACCTTTACATCTGTTTCTATGGAGTCAAATTCTCAGTACCCCCCACACACAATGACACTACATCATGTAGAGTTTTTAAGAGGCAAAGCTTCCTTCCTCCCTGAGCAATTTTCAGATGACCATAGAACTCCACTGAGCTTCCCTTCCAACCAGGAGAAAGCTACTGTGATGGAGAAGTGAGCCAAGCAGTTAAGACAACACCATCTCCTGCTAAGCTGCCGTATTGTGATCCTGCTCACTGCTCAGCCAGTCCCTAAATCAAATCTACAGATTTGACAAATTATAGACAAATTACAGTCTAAAACTCTTTCTCTAGAAAAAAAAATTGGCTAGAAATTTCTCGCTGGCACAGCAGAAGCAATATGTTTTACCACCACTCAGTAGTGAGTGGTGGCCAACTTGCTTGGGAATTTAGGCATTGGATGGTCCTTCTGGAAGCTTAGCACCCCACTGCAGTTACCTCATTGCTCTATGTGGTTCTTTTGGAAAGAGTACCAAGAACACCCAGCTCAACTCCCATCCACAGGGCCCTCCACCAAGCCATGGGAATCACGCTTCTTCGCTGATTCCCTTGCTGGCTCCTGGCTCAGCCCCTCTCCCCTCACAGAACATTCTAGCCATGACCTTCACCTTTATGCTTCTAAAGATAAGTCTGATAGTCTCTCCTTCCCTGACATTCCCAAAGACTGAGATCTATCTCCTATGTGGATTTTTCAACATATTTTCTCTTGGCTTCAAGGCAGATGTCTGATGGTTCTCTCCAACTCTTGAGAAAATTATTTTTAAATGAGTTTTAATTTTTCTGACCATATTATTACTTGTAAGAGTTAATGTAAGGTTTTAGTAATAGTAGGTAGTTATTAATATGGTAGAACCAAGAATAGTTAAATCCTACTTTATCCAGGCATTTTTTTACTTCCTGGATATAAGATAACAAAAAGGTGCTGGCTAGCGCAGAAACAAACACTGTAGTTATTTGTCCTCAACAGGCTTCAATGAAAGGGAAGTCTAGCTCACTCAACAGTCCCAGAAAGATTTCACAGAGAGAAACTAAGAGCAAGAGAATATATGTTTGCCAGTAATGGCTACTGTTAAACATACTCAGCTTATAGCCAGAGCTGGGGTCTTTTTGGGAAAGGAGAGGAAGGAGAAAGCCAAGAGAACTCAAGTGTCTTCTCGTGGGACAGTTGGCCTTGATTCTTGCAGGAAAAGAGAGAGACAGACAGAGAGTCAGAAGTGGCCATTTTTCCTGGGTACACCTGCCACTTTGGCATCATTAGTGACAGAAGAGGACTATTCCACAGGGAACCACATCTGTGTGGATAACCTTTTATGCCTGGCAGCTGTACTGACTGTCATATTTTGCACAATCACATTCTTTGAAACCAATCAATCTAGAGCAATTTTTTAAAAAGCTTTACCTATATTTTCTCCATTTTACTTATTTCTCTTAGCTCTTCAGGATCACAGCCATGCTTATGATTCTTCTAAGCAGGTTCAGCTATCTCTCCTCTCAGTGTCCCTCCATAATACCTTGATAAATTTCCTAAAGGTAACATCTTGTAAGGTAGAACCTGCTTGATCTTGGGATGTGATTTCTCTTGGGAAGGGAGCCATCAGCAAATGTCTCATGGGGCCATTTTTATTTTGATGAGGTTTTTTGGAAAACTTGAGTAATTTTTATGGCAAAGCCCCAGAATATGAGATAACATCATCAATCTGAAGGCTTTTTATTATTGTTTGAAGAAAAGATTCCTTTCCAGACTCAACTGGTCATAATCTGCTTAAAGGAAAGATTAGTTATGATTGAGTATCTAGAGGATATTTTCTTCTACGACCCGTATTATCCAAATTAGCACTCCAGGATTCCAGCCATGGGCACAGAATTATGGGCACAGACCTTTAGCAAGAAAACACCCACTGTGTGTCCCTGACTTCACCATTCAAATAAATTTGAATAATGGCAGACCTAAACATGCAAGTGGATATGACTTTTTTTGGACACAATCAATACTTAAATCAGGTACTACTTTCTTCCGAGACATCTCTTAAGTCACTCCTTTGCGCTGTCTCTAACCCTACAACTTTTAGAACTTGAGTATGAATTTTATAAGTTCTCTTTCATTGGATCATTGGGCTAGTTTTTAAGTCCTTAGTCATTTTTGCTACCATTTTTGGTACAAAAATCTTCTTTCAAGTTAGGGTTTATGGCAGCTCTTTGACCTATAGAGTCCAGCATGAGGTCTCCCTTGAGAGTTAATATTGCTGCCTTTTATCACTGTCTCTTTATCAAAGAAAATCTTCAATATTTTTATTTAATTTGTACTTTTACCTCTACATAACAATTTCCTCATTTGCAAAATGAGGATATTATTAGTTTATTTGATAAATTTGCTCTAAGTATGAAGTAAATTTATCAAGGAAATTAAACGTTTAAAGATGGTTCCTGGCACACAATAAGCACTCAACAGATGTCCAACTTCATTACTTTTCTCATCTGTTGCTCTGTTGCTTGGGAAATACATAAAACATGTTTTGAATTTTATTTGGAATGATTTGAAGATATTAGCAAAAGAAATCTAAGATAAATCTCAGTTAAGCATCGTCTTTATAACTAAGTCTAGGCCAGGGTTCCACAAATTATAGTCCACAGGACAAATTCAACCCATAAACTGTTTTGTAAATAAAGTTTATCAGAACACAGCCACAGCCACATCTTTTCATTTATGTATTATCTATGAATGCTTTCACAATAAAACAGCAGAGTTAGTCACAAGAGAGATTATGGACTGCAACACCTTAAATATTTACTATCTGGCCCTTTACAGGAAAAGTCCCTAACTCCTGATATAGGCATTTGTTATTTTTCCTTATATGCTAGATAGGCTCCTAAAAAGTTACATTTGAACAGTGTTTTTTGGGAAAACACTGCTGTTTGCAATGCAATGTTATAAATAAGAGACATTTGTGTTATTTTTCTACTTTCTTAGGGAGAAAAACCGTCAACTCTGGGCCTCTGAAAAGAGGCAGAAGAAGAGGTAAAAATAAATGATTAGTTCACTTTTAATAATTAAATATCTAAACTTTGATTTTATACTGTGGTTTAAGTAATCAATCAATTTTCTTAATCGGTTTATAGAATCGATAAGAAATGTTAGGATGTTCATTGGCCTTGGTTAATTTCCACAACATGAAAGGATGGTGATCCACTGATTAGCCAGTTGGTCTGTGAGAGACCCCAGGGCTCCCCTCATTGCACTGATAACTTTTGAGGGGGGAAATAGAAAGAAAAATATATAAAGGGTATGACTCACATGCTGTTTATCTGACCCTTCTCTTGCCCACATAGAGAGCCACAGACTGCCCACCAAGGGGGACCCTGGGTGGTAATACAAGACCTGTGTCCTAATTCTTAAACTTCCTTTGATTGTGTGACTTCGGCTCGCCATTCTTTTTTGCTTCCACTTCCTCCAATAAATGAGTGGGTGGCAGGTGAGTTAGACTGAGTGGCCTCCTACGTCCACCACAGCTCTTGTAGAATTAACTCTGGAAGGACTCTGGACAACCTACCCTTCTCCTCCAGAGAGAAACCCAAGCATATGTCTTTAATGGATCCCCCTCAAGGTGGGCTACAAGGGCAAGAGTAGGTGTTCCTTCTACTGAAGTTCTTTCTAAGACTTTCCACACCTGCTTCAGAGGATTCAGACCCCAGCACCCTCGCCCAAGGATGTGCCAAGGCCCTCTCCCTGAGCAACTTGCAGTGTCTCCTAGAGCACCCACCCTGAGGTGGCTCACATGAGGGAGAAGTGAAACAAAGCAGAGAGCAAGGTGAGAGGACAGACACCGGCCCTTCTAGGGGCCCCGTTGTCACCCTGCTTTGTTTCCCCATTTGAGGCCTCAAATGGGGAGAAAAAAATTAAAAGTTGAAGTCTTTCTTCTCCGTCTCCGTAACTTCAAAGCAATAATATGACTAGAAATCTTCCTTCAGAACAACAGAAGGAAAATTTTCCTGCAACAGGTAGTTGTAGCCAGCAAGCTATGGAATTCAGACCCTTACACATGAAATCTGTATGCAGAATTTTAGACATTGGGAGTGGAGGATGACATTATCTTTATGTTTCTAATCTGCCTTAAAAGAAAGACCTAGAAATGTTTAAGTTGAATTAAGTTATAGTTCAGTTATAAAGAACGGTCTCAAGATGGGTGAGGAGAGACAGTGCATAATTAGAGAGGGAGGTGAAATGAAAAAATAATAATAATACTTCCTTGCAGGTTCAAAGATTCCCAGAGAAGCAAATATGGATTTTCGACTTCCTGAACTTCCCGTGACTTGCGGTGAGGTTGAAGGGGTTTTAAATAAGGAGAAAATGAAAAAAGGTGGGTTTCACAGTCATCTACACTTCAGCTGGAAAACTCCCAAGTGAATAAGATACTGTATAGGGTGTCAACAACTTTTTGTACGGTATCTAAGGCCACCGCCAGGTTTGGTGAGTCACACTTAAAGGACTCAGCATATAGTCTAACACACGGCTACGATTTATTAAACTGATACAAAGCAAAATCAGCAAAGGGAGAAGGCACAGGGAACGAAGCCCAAAGGAAGCCAGGTGTTAGTTTCCAAGAGTCCTCGCCCAAGATGCACTTAATTCTACTGCAAGTCATAACAACACGTGTGAAATGTTGTCTGCCAGGGAAGCTGCCCTGAGCCAAAGAGTCCAGGGTTTCTATCAGGGGTTAATTGCCTAAGTACCCTCTGCCTAGCACATGCCAAAATTCCGAACTCCCAGAAGGAGAGCAGATGTTCTGCATAAACCATACTGTTTATATAAACCGTTTAGGCAGAGTGAGCCACTCTTTTAAGTTCTGAGAATGATGGGACCCCTCCCCAAATTCAGGTTCCCACCTGCCTTTATCCTTTGCACAAATCTTACTATTTTTTTTTGTCCAAGCCCATGTGAACAAGGTCTTTGGTCACTTTCACAATATTTTCAACCCCCTAAAATATGAGAAATAATTGATTGCCATTAGCTGGATGATCAGCTTTGTACAAGACGAGGCAGATGTGGCTGTGCTGACACCTGCAACACAGCCACCTGTGTCTCTTATCTGCCCCCTCAGAAACTCAGATCTCAGAGAAGGGAAGAGAAAGAATCTTGCCCATTCTTCTTTAGAACCATCCATTTTGTTTTCTCTTTTGAATATAGTGAAATATTTGTTAAAAGTAAATATTGGTAGTAATTACTATCCTTCTCATTGCATGAAAGTCAAATAAGTGCGTGCACACAGCAAGAAGTCCACTTCTGCCCTCACCTTTCAAGTTGCTGTGCGGCCTCAGAGAGGGAACTCAGCTCTCCTGCTGCCGATTCTGACCCCAAAATGGGTGCCCTCAATCCACATTGTGGGAGTTTTCAAGTTCTGGGGGTTTTCATAATCAGGAGCACACCGTGGTGATAGAGGTACCTTAGCTTGTCTTGGTCTCACAGGAGTCTCCGAGAAGTGCGTACAGAGTAAGGATGGAAGGCGGTTCACCCTCAGGGAATTTGAAGTTGAAGGAAAACGCGCAGCATCCAAGAACTGGAAGATGAGTGTGCGCTGCGGTGGATGGCCCCTAAAATACTTGATTGAGGTATTCTAGTGACAAAGGGCTGAAATCAAGGATTTAGTATCATGATTCATGAACTTCAAAGTTTAGCAGAATTTTTCAATGTCCAGAAAACCGTCATGACCCGCCTTGCTCGGGTCCCAATGCATGTATTATTACTAACCTGCCATGTGGGTGTTACCTTTGCTGGTTTACATTACAGATTCACCCTCTAAGTACATAAACTCTTACACTTTTGAAAGTAAGACAGTAAACTGTAGCCTTGACTCTGCTACTAGTAATTGTCACTGTGCAATCTGGTTACAGGAAGATAATTTAAATTTGGCAGGGGAGGGTCTTAGATCTGGGGAGCCAATGTTTAAAGTAACAATAGTAGAAACAGGTATGTGAAAATAATACACCAATATGGGTGTTTCCTGGATGACAGAATATTTCAACATTGTTTATTTTGATAGCCATCTGAAATTCATTCCTGAAAAAGAATATTTAAAATATATTTAAAAATATCTACTTGGTCTTCATATCAGCTCCCTGATGTGGACAAAGCAGGCCAGATCTCTGTCACAGACGAACCTGTGCCTTCTGACTCTATCACGTGCCCCAGATGGTCCTTCCTTGTACCACTCTAATGATGCAGAAAAGCTCTTTGCTTAGCAAATATTTGTTGAAATACATCTAAAGCCACAGGGACTGTAGTGTGGCTCCCAGTTCCTAACCAGGAGTAAGGCTGCACATTTGTAACCACAGGACTATACAGCTCATGGATGCTGTAATGAGAGGTGCTGGCAGGAAGAGATGCAGCAGCTTAGGGGAGGGAAGGTCATTTCTGGCTTTGAGGCTGAAGACAGTTTCTTGGAACAGTTTGCATTGAGCTGGGTCATAGAAGAAGAATGGTTCTAACAAGCAAAACTGTAGGAATGAAAAATTCTACATTGAAAGGATGGCATGAAAATCCTCCCAACATTTTGTCAAACGCAGGTAATAAGGCTCAATACATGAGCTGGGTTGAGTGTGGAGGTCTTGAGGTCCAAGGAAAGAGGCTGAACGCTTCATTTAATCATGGGGAGATCATGGGAGGTTTGAGTTAGAGACAGACTGAAAAAGTTGAAATAGGGCATTAGAAGTATGAATCTGATCAGAGAATGAAAGATGGACTCGAGGAGGCCCATTTAACCCATGGACCCCTCATGTGACCTTCACTGCCTTTCTGCCTGGTAAACCCTCACTCAACTGCAAGGCTCAGCTCACACAGCACAGTTTGATGAAGTTCTTTAAAATTCACTTAATTTGTTTCCTATAGTTGTTATAACAATTTTCCACAAACTTAATGCCTTAAAACAATATAAGTCTATTATCTTACAGTTCTGGAGACCAGAAGTCTGAAATCAGTTTCACTGGACTCAAGTCGGGGTGTCAGCAGGGCTGGTTCCTTTTGGAGCCTTCCAGGGAGAATCTGTCCCTTGCCTCTTCCAGCTTCTAGAAGCAGCCTGCATCCCGTGGCTCATGGCCCCGTCTCTGCAACACTCCAACCTCTTGTTCTGTCATCATGTGTCCTACTACTCACTCTGAGCCTCCTGCCCCACTCTTAACCCTTGTGGTTACATTGGCCCCGTCAAGATAATCAGAATCATCGCCCCATTTCAAGCTCCTTCATTTAATTATATCTGTAAAGCCCCTTTCACCATGAAAGTTAACGCATTCATGGGTGTGGGAACTAGGCATTTTTGCAAGGAGGGGCATTATTTAGCCTTCTATACACATCCATCTCCAGATCCCAAAATACTCTATGAGACCACAGTTTACACTTTATTATCCTTACCTGTTATGTGCCAGCTTTTCCCACTTGTCTCCCCAATGGCATAGATATCTTTGTGTGCCCAAAGCCACTGATAGGGCCTGACACCTGGTCAGTCATTCACCAGATGTGTGCCAATGAAGTAGCTGTAGTATGCAAGGTATAAAGATAAAAGCTAGAGGGGTACTGTGGGAATAGAAAGGAAGTGGTGGGTATAGAGGAGGTTGTGAAGGAAAACTTGGAAAAGCTTTATAAGGAGAGCAAGAGAGGAGGTTCAGGTTTGAAAGCTGAGTCTGGATAACAGACAGCAGCATGTTATAGATTTGGAGAGGGAGGTTATTTTCCATGAAGACACCTTGAATTTGCATTGACAATGGGACACATCTGGAAGGCAGCTGGAATTACCAAGTTCACAAAGTAGAAACAAGAACTCATAATGGCATGAATCTCATTTTTCTTTCAGAGAGGATTTTTACCAGATCCATCAATAAAAAGATAAAAGGTAATTATCACTTGAACTACTGCCTCTCTCTAAGCTAAATATCACTTTGATTGCTTTCATTGTAATAAGGACATTTCAGGCAGTCACTTTTTGCACAACTGCAGGAGGTGCCTCTCACTACATAATGTTGTGTAGCTGGACTAATACATGGCACCAACAGAGAGGGAAAGATAAGGGTTTCCATGCCCTCTGGTTTTCTAGCAGATGCATTGCCCAGCAAGCTCTAGATACATTCACACTGCTTCTGTTCCTCTGCTGGAGATGGGACCCTTGAGTAGTGGAATAGCTCTCATCTCTGAGGTCTGTGTAGCTTTTTTGATGACTGAGGTGGACACAGAGGGTTTTTCTTCCAACATGGCCAAGCCCTCTATGAAGATGAAAAGGCAACTCTTCCAGATAGGATGTTCTCCCCCTCTTCATAACCTTTCTTGTGACAGAGCTTATAGGTGATAATGACTGCCTATAACTCCCAGCCCTTGCTGGGAGAAGTTCCTCTAGACCTTGAGCTCCCACTCTTGGCTGCATATTGCAATTACTTACCCTCAGAGGTTCTGATGTTATTGTTCTAAGATGCTGTCTGAGGACCAAGATTTTCCAAAACTCCCCTGGTGGTTTTAATGCATGACAAAATGTGTGGGTCACTGTAGACCCACGCTGTACAATCTGTGGTGTCCATCAGAATCTCATGGGCTTCTGATTCAGTAAGTGAGGGATGGAGCCCAAGAATTCGCATTTCAAAAAAGTTCCAGGTAATGCTGCTTTTGCTGGTCCAGAGACCACTACTTTAAGAAGCCAAAGGTCTCAACTAATGACTGCACATTAAAACCATCTGGGGAACATTTAAAACACACTGCTTTAAAACACACACTCAACCCAGACTAACTGAGTCAAGATCTCTGAGGATGGGGTCCCAGGCATCAGAATTTTCTTAAAGCTC